AAGGTCTTTCAGGGACTCAGCAGTTTTCCTCAGAGTTGGTTCCCAGTCTGTGCCCTCCACAATCTTCCCTGTATGTTCCTTCACCAGCACAGAAAATTGTCTGCAGCCAATCACCAGTTCAGAACCAGAAGCCAAAGTAGTTACAGACTATCCCTGTAACTCACCCCGTGTTTAGGTCACTGAGTAACACCCCAATAAAAGTGAGATCAGACTCTGCAAATAATCCTGGAAAGGAAGAGATACCAGCACGAGAAGAAGAGAGCCAAACAAGGTAACACATGTGGATGACTTCTAAATTGGTCAACCCTGGGCAGAGGAAAATTTGGCCAATAAAAGTGAGATCAGACTCTGCAAATAATCCTGGAAAGGAAGAGATACCAGCACGAGAACAAGAGAGCCAAACAAGGTAACACATGTGGATGACTTCTAAATTGGTCAACCCTGGGCAGAGGAAAATTTGGCAATCTTTACTTGGCCTGAGAGAAGACCCATCCTGGCCCTTAAAGCACCAGTTAGAGATAAGTTGAAAGCAGGAGTTGAGCATCACCCAAGACAAACTGCAAACAAAGTCATCTCAGGCACCCTCACAGTCTAACGACGTGACTGTCCACAAAAGAGCAGGCTGTGGAGAGTGCAGGAACTTCCTGAGTTGCATGGGCAGAGTTGCTACATGTATGACAGAATTGGCAGATGCCCGTCAGTCTCTTCACAGTGAGTCTCAGGGATACGAAGCAGAGAACCGGCTCCTGGGGCCAGGTGGAGAGATGAAGACTGCAGGTTCAGGGGGGTCAGCACTCACTGCGGCACATCTGACCCCTGCCTCTTCAGAAGACAAGGCCAAATGCACGATGAGAAGGGGACCTCTGGAGCCTCGAGATTCTGGATTTCTAGTTGGAAAACCTCTTTGCAAGACAAAAAACATACCAAAGGACATTTGGAAGTATTTCCAAGAATGAATCACATGCCCTAACTGTAATAGAAGAAGCCATAGGTCTCATTTCTGTGACAGGTGAAGCATAAGCCTTGCCACAGGCTACACTAGAAGAACGAATTATATAAGCTGGAGCAGAGAAGATTCTTCAAAACTACACACTAGCCAAAAAAAAANCGTCAGTCTCTTCACAGTGAGTCTCAGGGATACGAAGCAGAGAACCGGCTCCTGGGGCCAGGTGGAGAGATGAAGACTGCAGGTTCAGGGGGGTCAGCACTCACTGCGGCACATCTGACCCCTGCCTCTTCAGAAGACAAGGCCAAATGCACGATGAGAAGGGGACCTCTGGAGCCTTGAGATTCTGGATTTCTAGTTGGAAAACCTCTTTGCAAGACAAAAAACATACCAAAGGACATTTGGAAGTATTTCCAAGAATGAATCACATGCCCTAACTGTAATAGAAGAAGCCATAGGTCTCATTTCTGTGACAGGTGAAGCATAAGCCTTGCCACAGGCTACACTAGAAGAACGAATTATATAAGCTGGAGCAGAGAAGATTCTTCAAAACTACACACTAGCCAAAAAAAAAATGAAAGGGAGAAGAAGCAACCACACATCATTTTAAGACTCTTTATTTAAAGGTCATATCCCTGAGCCAGGCTACTGTGTAATCAAGCAGAAAAGTGGTACTGAAACTTGATAGTTTTGACTGCTGGCCTTCGGTCTTGGATGTTAACAAATATTTGCTGTTGTTTTTTAACCAAGCAGTCTATACCTCAACCTTCATGTTAATTCAGAACACTCCGGGCCAAACCCGTGGCTCACTTGTAAGAGTGCAGCGATGGGAGCGCAGCCGACGCTGGGAGTGCCGAGGCCGCGGGTTTGGATCCTATATAGGGATGTGGCCAGTGCGCTCACTGGCTGAGTGCGGTGCGGGCGACACCACGCCAAGGGTTACGATCCCTTTACTGGTCACAAAAAAAAAAAAAAAAAAAAAAAAACACTTCACTTCCTGAAATATCAGGCTCTAAATTGAAGGACAGGGAGCACAACCCTCACTGAGTTAACATTTCCAAGGCAAGGGGTCAATGGAGCTGACCAAATAACCCATGGCAAGGTGTCCCAAAGGAAGCTACCATATGTGGAATCTGGGTGTTGAGAAAGAAGATGACTCATCCTCATATTACTCTTTTAAAGAACTGTGTAATAACTTTCCAAGCAACTGAATATTTTAACATACTGGGTTGCTAAAGCTGTTAGAAGAAATATCTGGACCTAAGAGAATCTGGCAACACTATCTGAATGAACACCAATTTTTATCTATCCTAAATGTTAAGATATATTTTTGAATGTTGAAGATTTTTGTATATTAAGAAAGTGTCTGGTGATCAGAAAGAGTTGGCCAAGGGAAAATTGATCACCTGACAGGCAGGCTGTGGCTATTTTGATACCCTTATCTCTCTATAAAAGGAGATATATTCTCCTTACTATACAGACTTTACTATGCTATACAGACTAGCCTACGACAGATGTGCTGCCAGGCTATTGCAACACCCATGTCACCTGTCCCAAGGTGACCCTGAAGATAGAGCACCTGTCCTTTCATTCTCTCCAAAAGGTTTAAATATTTTCATGGCCTCCCTTCATTTCTAAACCAATTAAGGGCATTTTAGAGCCTTCATTCATTTCTCAAGGTATTGCAATGAAATAGCCATATCCTAGCTTAGCAATGGTTCAGTGAAAGCACTGAACTGGACTAGGGAATCTAGACCTTTGGGCTATGTTCTCAACTTTTTCCTCTGTCCACTGAGTACTGTTCTTCCTTTCCTCCCATATTTTTTTTATTCAACAAATACAAGGGGCTTCAAAAAGTTCATGGTAAGGTTTGTATCATCTTTTTAATTCCATTTTTCCATGAACTTTTTGAAATACCCTTGTATCTATTCAATACCTGCTATGTGCCAGGGTCAATAATAGGTGCTGTGTCTGCAGGAGCAAACAAGGGAGATAAAGTCCCTCTCACAAAGCATACATTCTCACTGGGGAGATGAATAATTCCAGATAGTGGTTAGTGCCAGAAAGAAAATAAAGAGGCTAACAGAATTCAGTGATTGGACAGGATAGAGGGGAGAGGAACACAATCCCGACTTTAGACAGTCAGGGATGAGCCCAGGAGGAGATGGCTCAGTGGGGATCTGAGTGATAAGCAGAAGATCTGAGGGAAAAGCTTCCAGGCAGAAGGCAGAGCTACAAAGGCCCTGAGGTGGTAAAGAGTCAAGAGAACTGAAGGAAGAAGGAAGGCCTGAACGGCCAAAACCCAACAAAGAGGAGAGAGTAGGTAAAGACGAGGTAGGAGAGAGGATGAGGCTGGACAGCCTAGGGCACTACATGTTATGGGAAGGAGTTGAGACTTCAATTAAAGTGGGATGAGAAACCACTGGAGGGTTTTAAGCAGGGGCTAAGCCATATCAAGGGGCAGACAATGAGGACCAGGTATGTGAAGGATAATACACAGAGGATGACAGCCAGATATTCTCTGGAAAGGGATCTCAGAGGGGGCTGTGGTGAGACATGAGGCATGTCTTCAGATCATCTTGGGGCCAAACATTAATGCGTTGACTGATCCTTACCATCTCTTCTAGCTTAACCCTCTCATATCAGAGTCCCTTGCACAATGTAATAGACTTACCATATCTACACTTGGACTGTTCCAGAGATTGACTCATCCCCTCTGACAGCTACATTAAAAAGTTCTTCCTTATATTAAGCCAAAATCTGATTCCTTGTGACTTTTACTCATCTGTCTCTGTATATATCCTTCTGGGCTCTACTAACAGCTATTACACCCCAAGAATTCCTTTCTCAGGCAAGTCAGTACCAGTTTCCTTCAGTTACTCACGTGACTTTTCTAACTTTTCATTATGGAACATTTCAAATGTTCACAGACGCGGAGAGAATAGTTTAACAAATCTCGACTGACCCATGGCCAGCTTCAACAACAATCAACTCGTGACCAATTCTGCTTCCATCTAACTTTTTTTTTTTAAAGATGACCGGTAAGGAGATCTTAACCCTTGACTTGGTGTTGTCAGCACCATGCTCTCCCAAGTGAGCTAACTAGCCATCCCTATATAGGGATCCGAACCCGTGGCCTTGGTGTTATCAACACCACACTCCAAGACCACACTCCCCCAAGTGAACCACAGGCCAGCCCCCCATCTGACACTTTGATTTCCTTTACCAACTTGGTTACTATGTTTATCTTACAGGTATAATCTGGCCAGCTCAGAGTACTAGCAGCTCCCTCAGCTGAGACATCACATGTCTACTAATACAGACTAACAGTCCTATTACGTGTGGTGGCAGACTGGGGCTTCATAATGTGAATTCAATTGACTCAAACTCTCCCAGCAGAAGTTGTGCAGTTGGGTTTTTAGACCCAGGAATGGGGATTTATGTTTGTCCCAAGTGATTTTCATCTTATCAGACTCAGTCCATTCCTTCATGCCATCAGCATCGTTGTGGGCCTTGATTCTCTAACATTAACCACCCCTCCCAGTTTTTGTGATACCTCTAAAATTTAGAAAATATGAATATGGACAGATATGAATTAGAAAAAGAGTTCTGAGCTGGGAAGGATCAAAGGAAACATTTAAATTCCTTATTCTACAGATGAGGAAACTAAGATCCAGAGAGACGGCCTCTAGCTCACAGCACGATGCAAGTTAGGCTACAGCCTGGGCCTCACGCTCTCTGCTTTCTCCCCCATGTCCACAAGTTCTGTAAGTCCTCAGGAGGAGGTGCTCTAAGAGAGAGATGCAATCCTCACTAGCTAGGCCAGCGTCTGCAGGCCTCCAAACTGATTTACAGTCAACAGCCAACATTCCCCCTCATTTGGCACACACTCACCACGTGCTGCTCTCTGCGAGGCTGCACTGCCCTCAATTACTTATCAGGCATTTCCCAAACTCAGAGATTAGGTTAGAAAGCATTTTTCTCTGCTCTCAGTCAACTCCTGAAGTATGGAGGACTATGCAACTAAATTAGTTAGGAATGTCAAAAACGTTCATAAATAATAAAGTATTCACATATATTAGAAATGGGAGATAGTCTGTTATTAAAAAGCCACACTTACAGAGGTTGCCTAACAAAATATACATCTTAAAAATTCAGCACTTTTTACAACTGTTTCCATCTGAGAAACAAAGAATAAAAATGGGTAATAATTATAGACATAACTTCACACGATACTCTGGATAATATGCAAGAAGCATCATGATGTTTTTCAGATATTTCTCTTTGTGACTATAGTACTAACCACACACTGGAGGAGGGACGAAAGTTCAGATGTGCACAGCCCAGGGAGCCTCCAAACAGAGCGGCAGTGTCCTTGGGGATTTTCTTTCCCTCAGTAAAAGACATGGGGGGTGGAGGGAGTCCAGGAGCTTCACCAAAACATACACAACCCAGCTTCTCATCCAGTCTGCTGGCATCATCAACTATCAAACCATTTGCTCCTCTTTGCAAGAGGTGCTCCTTTAGAAGGTCCCAATAATTTCTGCTTATATTGTTCAACCAGCTGGTTGAAGCGGGTTTCTGTCTTATTTCCCTTAGCTTTTTTCTTCGGTACCTACAAAGGAAAGGAAAGGAAATGAAAAGATAATCAATTTCAAATACTAAATATCACCTTACCCTCAGGCCACCCAAGAAAGAAAATAAGTAGGTACAGAAATCATGTCCACCAAGAAGAGGTTGACTTCCAGAGAGAAACCGTTAGAGAGGAAAGCTAAAAAAGAATCATCCATTGGTAAGAAAGCAGACCAATAGTGCACACAAGCAAGGCCCAACTAAAATGCCATTCAGGGGTTTCAGAGACCTCCTTGCTTTCACTCCCAAATGCACACTTTAACCTCAACGCAGATGAATCTGCCCAGAGTCTGGGCTTTTTTGCTTGCTCGTTCCCTCACCAAGAATACTGCTTATGGGATTTCAGAGGCAGATTTCTATAATATAGTATAGTATAGGTCAGAAATTTCCCAGAGACAGATTTCCTGAGTAGGATGGGAAGCTAATGCTTCTTTTACCCTTAAGGGAAAGAACTAGGGAAGAGGAGAAGGAAGCTTAACCTCAAATGTTCAAGAACACAGGACCACCGTTTTCTACTAAAAGGAACCAAAGCTCCTTAGAAAAATGGCTAACGACAAGACTGGGGGGAAAGTATGTAATATAAGCCTGGATATCTTGTTGTACTAGGATACTTCCAAAGACAAAAATGGTCATGCCAGAAGGATTCAGGAGACAACCTGAAGGGGCTTCTGCTGGCCTCAGATGGGACAAGAATATGACTGCATTTGATTGAAACACTTCAAGTATATAAAAACTCAGGATTTCATAATACTAAAAAAATCTTATTGGTAGGGAAGATTCTTCTTTCTAGAATTCTATTTTAAAATGCAAAAGGACTGATAGAATTAAGAAGTCACCATTCTGCAACCCATAATGAAATAACGGATGTAGACAGCACTCATCAGTGTTTGCTAAAGCCATTAAGTGAAAGGCTGATGGGGGACTTATCAATGGAGGGATTAGGCAGACAATCCCTAAGTTTACCAATCAGTCTTAGCACCACTAAAAACGAGCAGCCAGCCTTATGTGCTACAAGGAAACACACAGCACCACCTATGAAATACTCATCAAGAAAACTGAACTTGATCAAGCCTCTAGATCTAGCAGTTGACAGGTAATATGGGGTGTCATAGGAACAAGTTAAATGACACTGCCAAGAGGCAAGCAGCTAAATTCAAAATGTAATACATTCTAAAGGGCAAATGACCTGGTTTCCCCAACAAATTAACAGCATGGAAGAAGGGGGGTTGGTAAGGAAGAGTGGGTATTATAGAATTTTTAAAAATTTGAGAAATGAAAAACCAAATGTAATGTGTGGACTTCATTTGGATCATGACTCACACAAACCAAGTATAAAAAACATTTTTGAGGCAACTGGGGAAATTTTAATATAGGCTATGTATTAGATGATATTAAGGGCTTCTTATTAATTTCAATAGATATAAAGACATAATGTGTACATTTTTAAGGCCTGATCAATTAGAGATGCATCCTGAGGTTTTTCTGAGCAATATACCTCATTTTCACATGAAGTATATTTATATATGAAATAGAGTTTGCTTTAATACACTCTAGTGGGGGAAAAGCATGTATGGGGAATAGGTAAAACAAGGTAGCTATTGAAGCAGTTACAGATATATGGGGGCTCATTTTACTTTTCCCTCCACTCTTATGAGTGTACCTTAACATCTTCTAAAAAGCAGTAGTCCTGCATATAGCTGCAATCAAGAAGCCCTTTCTTTTTGCTCAACCAACCAACGTACAGGAGTGGCTGCGAGCTCAGCAGAGCTTCACCATACCAAAGCCAAGTGCCCTGCAGAACTCACCTGCTTGGAAGATAACTGCTGTTTCTCTTGCTTCCACTGGTTTACCTGGGACTTTGGCTTTGGGGGAGGGAGAGACTTCACTTTACCTTTGTCCCGTAACCTGAAATAAGAAGGCCAAGTAAGTGTCACCCTGAGTCCTTCCTCTAATTGGCACCCCTAGGTTTTCTCAGCTCAAGAGATAAAATTGCTTTTTGCACATTGGCTCTTTCTAAGCCCGTGATAAGTTAGGTCATTCTAAAAAGGATACTGCAACAGACTATCCTACATATATCCTGTATATTTCCTGGTTTTCTATGGGGGTTTTTTTCCCTTAAAACCTTATGGGAATCTCAAAAACCTTCATTTATTTAATAAATATTATGTAAAATTCTACTATGTACATAGCACTAATCTGTTGCCCCAAACAGAAACTACAGGTGAATCTCAAGTATGTGGCCTCAGCTGACAACAGAGATGGCCATCTAGACAGGAGGAAGCTCTTCAACAGACGAAGAAATGGCATGAAAGCCTGCCCTGGAAGGTTCCTCCGAGGCCCCCTCTGCCATTTGATCCAAGAGTGACATCTCTGCTAGTTAGAGAGACATGTATGGTAATCCTTCGTGTGGGACTGGCACAGCACCATGCATCCCTTTCATCCAAACAAATGCCACAAAGAGGAAAATAGCTAAGCAAAAACAAACCCATGTAGAAGCCACCCACCATTCCATGCTGCCCTCCTACTGCTCACCTAATTTTGGGGCCTCGGTGTGAAGGCAGCACCAGGACCTTTCTTCTCTTCGTTCCATCAGGCAGCTCCACCTGCTCCACTTCAGCCTTGGTCTGGAACCCTGCCCAGTAGGTAGAGCCCGCTTTCCCCTTCTGCTCTGGGGGAGCCTTGCTTTGTTTCTGTGTGTGGCTTTGGGCTGCCTTCTGTTGCTGGTCTTTTCCAGGCTTTGGTTGCTCCTTCTGGGGCTCACCAGTTGCAGGCTTGGATCTCATTTTTTGCTGCATAAAATAAGAAACTGCCATCTGGTTTCCGGATGAGCTTTGTTTGCTGGAAACACTCAGCAGAAGAGGAGCTGTATATGAGCTTGGTGAAGGGGAATTCTCCCCCACACAGTTGGAGACTGCAGCAAAGTGAACACAAGTAGTTCACAAGCCCTGCCATAGTACAGATGGTTACTGAGTGGGGGACACAAAGCAACCATTCCTCTTTCCATAACAGAAACAGGGGAGAGTACACACCTAAAACTCAAAAGCTAGTAGGTGGGACAATTAGAAAAGGTGTAACACTTAAGGGGAATACCAAGGGAAAAAGAAAGCAACAGAGGAAACAACTGAATAAAGGCTGAGAGTTTTTCAAAATTAATGACAGATACTAAAGCACAGACATGGGAGCTCAGAGAACACCAAACAAGATAAATAACAAAAAATCTACACCTAGCCTTATCACAGTCAAATTGCAGAAAATCAAAGACAAAATCTTGAAAGAAGCCAGAAAAAAAAACACACCTTACCTATAGAGGAGCAAAGATAAGATTACACTTGCTTTCTCTTCAGAAACCATGTAAGGAAGAACAAGTGGAGTGAGATATTAAAGTTTTGATAGAAAAAATGCCACCAATTTAGAATTCTGTATCCAATGAAATTATCCTTCAAAAGTGAAGGAGATGGGCTGGCCAGTTAGCTCAGCTGGTTAGAGCATGTTGTTGATAACACCAAGGTCAAGGGTTCAGATCCCCATACCTGCCAGCCACCAGGAGAGAAAAAAAAAAGTGAAGGAGAAACAAAGACTTTCTCAGACAAACAAAAATTGATGGAATCTGTCACTAGCAGACCTGCCTTACAAGAAATGCTGAACAAGTTTCTTCAGAGAGAAGGAAAATGGCATAGGTCACAAACTCAGACTTACCTAAAGAATGGAAGAGCATTAGAGAAGAAATAAACAAAGTGAAGAAGACAAGGAAAAGATATTATGAGAGAAAGGCTTAAAGGATGTTACAGATTTATTTGCGCAGAAGTGGAAGAAAAAAATTCAATTGAAATTAATGTAATAATAAGTGGGATTTTTTGCCTTTTCACCTTAAAAGTCCAGATAGGTACATTGATACAACCAACATTTATTATATGTCTATAATGTGCCACTTTGTTTCTAAGTGGCAAGGATACAGATGGAAAGAATAAAGTGTCTAACTTTCAGAACTCACAGATGACACAAATAAAGCAAAGTAAACAGCCAAACAGTTTAAGGAAGTTCCCGTAAGTCCAACTAAGGAGGGCTTATTTCTTTTGAGAGAGGTAGGAGAATGCTATCTGAGGATCACTTGAGCTGAATATGGAAAGTAGTACAAGTATCCTTTTGAGTCAGGGGAAAGAGGCATTTTTACAAAGAAAGATGAGTACATATATAAGTGGTGGTGACAAATAAAGCTATTTAGATATTACAAAAACAAACAAACAAACAAAGCCAGTAGCTTCAGAATCATCTCCGAGGCAATGGCTTAAGGCAGTAAACAGTTCTATTACCTAGAATAACAAAGTTGCCTTGAACAATAACCAGACCCCAGGTTTTCCAACCCAGGCCCATTAACCACTGAAATTGTTCAATCTGTTGGTCATGCTCATGGCATATACCACAAAGACTACAAATGTTTGCTATATATGCAAGTTACGGTATAATATCAATGAGAGTTCTAAGAGTTTTGGAATCAAGAATAATCTGGCCCTATACGTCCTGGGGGAAGATGGGTAAGAGAATGAGTATTAATTGCATGCTGACCATGTAGTATGCTAGACAACTGATATGCATTATCGCATTTAATTCTCATCAATAATGTGAGGAAGATGTTGTTAACCCATTTTACAAACCGAAGCTCAGGGAGGGAATAACATGTCAAAGAATATGTAGCAAGAAAGGGACAGAGCTAGAGTTTGAACATGAATATTCCTGTTCCCAAAGTCTCTGCTCTCTCCTCTGTATACACTAGATTAAACACAGTACCAAAACTATAGGGCATCAGGCTTCTCCCCCCGGCCCCCCCCCCCCTTTTTTTTTTTTTTTTGACAAATCAGAGGCTTCTGCTTACTTCCTCTACTTAAAGGTAAGGGGTCAGTTCTGCAAGCAGTCTATCCAATTTAGAGTTCCTTCAAATCATCTTATCTCCTTGAATCACCACTCACTCCCCTCCCCAACCCTGTCCACTTGCTATTCTTTCCCACCACTCATATGTCAGAGGACACTGGTCTTGAAGGAGGAGACTGAGTGTCTGCAAGTGGTCCTCAGGGAACAGGTCTCTGCAGAGGATGAGACTCACCTTCTGAGGCCCAAAGATTTCTGGATTGTTGTTGATGTGGCGAAGGGCTCCCAGGGCATGCTCATGCTCCTGGAACTCTGCAAAGGCATAGCCCAGGGACTGACCTTTCACGTTCCCATGAACTCCTTTAAGGTCTCGCATCACCCTACACTACAAATAGAATAAGAAAAAGAACCAATAATTACAGAATGAGAAGGCTTGCCTGACATGAACTGCTTTAACAGATTCAGTAAGAAATCAAGTTATTGAAACAGAATCTTCACTTCTATCACTATCACAAAAATCATACTGGAATAAGATGGACTTACAAGTCTCCATCTTATTAGAATATACCTACTGAGAGCACAAATTAAATAGATATTTTGTTGCTTTCTAAGAGTTTATAGACATCAATACAGACATACAAATAAAACTTCCCAAGGAAAATTTATAATAGCTAACTGTTTACATACAAGTTGAGAGGTACTTGATAAAGAAGGCTTGATAGCTGTAGACAGGAAAGACATTTCAGGCAAGGGAAAGAGCCTCCCCAACATATAGCCTCAGACATACAGGAAGAAGTTTCAGCTCTCTTTGCTTGGAGCTCAGATCCTCTCTGGCGTGATCTTTCCCTAAACCCTTAAACTGGACGTAGTAGGCATCCTGGAGCACTGCAGTATCACAGAATATTTTGAGAAAACTGATCATTTACCCACTATTACTCCTGGAAGCAGTCGTTCTCATGTAATGGAAAAGTCTAAGTAATGGAAACATGTGGATGCTACATTTGGTTTATGTCCTGTATCTACTCTGTTCCTAAAACTATCATGCACTGTAGGGGAAACAAGAGAAGTATACATTGAAATTCCTATCCTTGACATGCTTACTTTCTATGATACTATACTTACACATATGAAAGAATTAAAGAGAACAACTCGATATACTGCAAATATTAAAAAACAGAGATTTCTCTAGATCATGACAGGTTTTAAAAATGCAGAAACTTACCAAGTATTGTAGATGTTGACATGAGAAATTATACAACTGACCCCTATGCGAGTAACACCTGGAGCAGTTTTACTAAGAGTAATGTCAGCTTTGTGCTGATATATTCACATTTTCTCATATAATTTCCCAAATACCAATACCTACATTTTGAAGAGGCTTTCAGGGATCAGGAAAAGTTTACAGTAATGAAACAGAGAAAAGCAGACCCAAAATATTGGTAATTATACTTTTTTAATAAATACTGATTGAGAGATTACTACATGCCAGGTACTAAGCCTAGGATTGAGGATAATGAGATAACACTTGTCCTCAAGGAACTCAGTCTGGTCAGGAGAAACCACTGACACAATTTCAGGCCAGTGAAATATTTAAGTGCTATAACAGAGATACACAGAGCGTGCTGTAGGGGCAGAGGAGAGGTTTCTGTCTTCACACAGAGTCTAACCAAGTCTTGGTGTGAACCCAGCGTTTTCCTAATTCAACTGCTAAAGACTTGCATGGCTCCCTGTGCTCACTATGGGGCACTGCAGACTCTTACCATAGGGTAAGAGCCTAATCAGTACTAAAATGCTCTTCTAAAGAGCAAAGCACACCAAAAAAAAAGCAAAGCACACAAATTATTTTCTCTGCAAGAAAATTCACATTACAGCACATAATATAATGCTGACACATGGCAGGCATTTAATAAATGTCTGCTAAATTAATTCATGAGGACAGAGAATTCCTCACATTCTGCTGCAATTTGGTCAGATGGGAAAAAATAGTTCTTAGAAGAAAAAAAAAAAAAACCAAAACCAAGAAAACTGCTGAACTCAGCCTTGCATGCTGACAACACATCCAAAAGAAACTCTGCTGACATTCTGGCACCACAGCCTGAAGTAAATGCTCAGTCTGAGCCAGGATGAGAATGAAAGTTCTACATGGGCAGGGCTACTCTCACCTCCTTGATGCGTACTCCCTTCTCCCCCCTAGTAGCATTCAACAGCAGCTTTCTGAGCTGTTTGTCATCCACGGCCTTTGGGAGATTGTGCAGGCAGAGTCTGGTACGAGAGACAAAAATATTCTGGTCCTTGAGTTTTTGATGCTTCAGTAGCTCAAACTGAAAGAACAAGTTGGTATCAGCATAAGATACTCTTTAAAAAGGTAAGTTTGTAAACATCCAAAAGGAAAGAACCATAACCCCTATCCCATAACCACGCACAGAGAAAATGGAAGAAAATTACCTACACTGAAGCCTTAAAAAAATGTCCACCATAGGGAAAGAAAGGTCCAAAGAAGCAAGATAGTGAGTCAGTAATAGTAAGGTGGTAGGAAGATTATGGGCTCTGGAGTCGGATCTGAATTAGAAAGCCATTCCTAACTGGAGAAATTACATGAAATTTTTAAGCCTCGATTTTTCAACTACGAAATAGAACTGCAGATCAAAATACAACACAAATCTCTCAGCACTGATGTGAGGCCAAAATGAGATAACATACAAAACAAAAAGATCCCTAGCTCAAAATGCAGCCCAGAGCAAATAATAAATAACACTGTGGTTAACATCTATGTCCTCATCTACCCACCAACTCCAACTAATTATCTAGTCCTTCCAAAGGAAATGAAACTTTTTAAGAATCCTTGATAGAATGTGTCTTGTCTCAACTCTGCCACCCTGAGGCAAAGAAGTGTCCATAACCAGAGAAACATATTCTGCTCTTAGAGCCACATCAACTGTACTGCCACAAAACACCAGTTCCCAGGGTGACCAATCTCCAAAATGAAATGAAGAATAACATTCTTCTCCTAATTTGTTTTTAAAAATTAGGTTAGTAGAAAAAAGTTTTCAATTAAATTGTTTCTTTTATCAAGTCTTAGTCCTGCTGCTTCTTGTTTGGTAATGGTACTAACAAATCACAAAAAAAAGAAGTGCTCTGGAAATAAATATTAAAGGGACATCTGAAGAGGACATGCTATCATGCCTAAGTTCAACAGACTATTTCTCTCTCAAGCAAAGCTGTGCCTGCTGTGAATTGATAATGCACACATATAACCTAGTGAGCTTTTTCCTAGCAAAATTAGTTCTTAAATTAAATATGTTATTGCCTTATGGTCTAAAAAGGGTATGTAATGCCCCCAAATACTATTATTTCCAGATGTTCACTACCAAAAAAGCTGAGAACACTAGTCTAGAACCTATGCACACTGAAAAAAGACACACTGCCTCTTGCTGTCACTGTATTCTCATCTCTGTTCATAATCACCTGCACCTAATTCTGTTCATGGTTATATATCTTTACCATTCAGGGCTGGCTTAGCTTTTTGAAAAGTAAGCTACATAGGTAAAAATAAAATTTACTGGGAACTAATGTTACCAAACTGCAGAAAAACTTAACGGTATCAGTTCACAGTGAAAACTCCCATAACATGGAGTTTTCCTAAAATGATTTTATAATCTGGAAATAGCAGCTCTTCCCAACTGACATCTCAACTTCCCCTTCCATGAGCCACATCTCGTTCATTTCCTAAGAACTCTAGCCCACACCAATCTTCCTCTCTGATGTTATTCTGAGTTTGTATTGACACCTAATTATACACAGCCCTAGCCTCTAAACATCTGCTGCATGATCTGGCAGCATGCTATTCAGCAAACATTAGGGAAACAAAGAATAAGACCCTGTTCTTATGACATATAAGGCTGATATAATACTATAACCCAAAACATTAGGGAAACAAAGAATAAGACCCTGTTCTTATGACATATAAGGCTGATATAATACTATGTATAATCTTGGGTTATGTGCTGTTTCACTGGTATGCTTCTGTTCTGTCTAACAAGACTGTAAGTAGGGTATATGACCTACACTAGGCTCTCTGAGGAGCACATCTAGCATTCAACAATTATTTTTAGTGATTTATGAAGAATCTGAAGGCTGGTGCCTAATCTACTCACCCGTTCTCTTTTGGCCATATCAGCAGCACTCACACCCTCTGCAGCCTTCGTCCCAGCACGAATCACTGCAGAAAGAGGGAAAAAGGCCAAGACATCACCAAGGGAATTTTCACTGAGCAACAAGAGGAATGTGATTTGAATGATGCAAACTCTTTGTACAGGACCCAGAGGACTATACTGGCCAGGACATGGTGACATTTGGTTAGATCCAGAAATAGGCTACAGGGCTAAGTTCTGGGCTCAGAGCTTCTGTCAAGGACTAAACGAACATTTTTTTTATTTTGTTCCTCTTCTCCTTCTGTCCCCTCAAAGAAGCTTCACGTACATGCCCAAAGTCAGATGGAAAGGCCTAGAGGAAGTTCTGCAAATAAGTACATTTCAGGCATTTGGAATGCAAAATGTTCCACCTATAACCTGTCTCTGAAACTTAGCTGCTCCTCATGTACTTGGGGGCCATTACTAAGCAGTGAGATAAGCCAGTCTGGATAACAGATAATCATATCGCCGTAGAAGCCTAATATCAGAGGCTAATGGACTAACATTCTTCGTCCACGCTGTACAGCTGTGCAGGAGGTAGGCTGATAAATACCATTTGACCTAGAATAGATTTTTAAAAAAAAACAACTTGAAAGTTAATTTCTGATTATCTTTCTGACATTAGGGGAAAGGTCCTGTCCTGGGTGCACATTTTTTTTTTTTTTTAAAAGATGACCGGTAAAGGGATCTTAACCCTTGACTTGGTGTTGTCATCACCACGCTCAGCCAGTGAGCAAACCGGCCATCCCTATATGGGATCCGAACCCGGGGCCTTGGTGTTATCAGCACCGCACTCTACCGAGTGAGCCACGGGCCGGCCCCTGGGTGCACATTTTAAATCCATGAATAATCCAGAAGAATAATTTTAACTCCTTCAGAAAACCTCTTACTAGAAATGATAACAAGAAGCAAAGGTAATTTGAGTGTTTCTGCCCTCTTTGCTTTGCCAATCCCCTAAAAAAAGAAAGGCACAGAAGAATAATTTTAACTCCTTCAGAAAACCTCTTACTAGAAATGATAACAAGAAGCAAAGATAATTTGAGTGTTTCTGCCCTCTTTGCTTTGCCAATCCCCTAAAAAAAGAAAGGCAGTCAGGCAGAAAAGAGAACGGGATTGGTTAATCCACAAAATGGGTGCAGGTTTCTAACAGAAAGCCATATCAACTAAATAGAATAATGTAAAACTGTTAAAGAGGATATTTAAATTGAAACATGCTCCAGAACACACTATTTTTGGGTCACTGTCACAACACAGGGTCAGCTACTTAGAAGGCTGGTTCACACCTCCCTTCCACTACTCACAGCCTTCTCGGGCCAAATAGAGGTTCCGGGTTCCGGTTGGCTTCTTCACCTTCTTTGTCTGAAGCTTTGCAGCTTCATCACGGGTCACTGCCAAGTCAACCTTGAGCTGTCGGCCATCCAGTTTAAGCCCACCACCCTGTAACAGATTGCAACCCTCTTTTAAAATACACAACGAGTACAAACTAAGCACCTGACAAGGAACACCAAGGAAAGGGAAACAGCACACCCCAATTATGCTATGGAAGCCAAGCCCAGGTTGTTTCAGCCTAGCTGGCTCTAAAGTGGATCACTAAGCCTCACGATATTTAGCATAGCTGTGCAAAAGGCCACATGTGCACCTGGGACAGTCAGCAGTAAAGAACTTATTTTATGGAAGTTGATTAGTCCTAAAGCAGGCCCAAATTGAGGAATATGATCTATAAAGACAAATTTTTAGTATTCTAAAGAAAGCAAATGAAAGAAAAAAGAAAGCAAATTAAATAGTAGTGTTTACTCAAGAGAATAGAAGAGATAATGGCAGTACAGGAGAACTTATCTCAAAACAATTTACACTTGGTTATAAAACACACAGAAAAGTTCTCCATCACCCACACACTTTCAAACATTTACTCCACTTCCTAGATGATCTTACTACCTTCCTGTCCCAGTCCTTATTATCAATCTAGGATAGAGGCTGACACACAAACAGCAATCAATTAAGTATCAGCTACATTATTATACCTCTTTCCTCACCTATGCTATAGGACAGCAGTTCTACCTACTTCATAGGGCTGATGTCATGATTAGATAAGATAACGCGAGTAAAGTTCAGGGCCTAATGCACACTAAATGCTCAATAAGTGTTGGCTTTACTATTATCGACAATAAACAATAAACCTTTTGTAAACATCAGATGTTGCCCCTAGGACCCACTGTCTCCCATGTTATAGGGTAAATGAAATGTCTTCCTTACCTCAGTCTCTGGAGAAGCAGCTGCAAGGCATTTCTGAGCTGCTTCTTGAGTCGTGAACTGTGCAAATGCACAACCTACACAAAGAGATAAAATTAAGTGAGATCCCAAACTCCCATGATCCACCAGAAAGCCAAAGACAACACTACAAATGGTGGCAGCCCAACCCAGAGTGAAAGGGGTAGGTAGCATCTACTTACTAAGTACTATAAGACAGGCTCTATGTTAGGCACTGGGTCAAAGACAAATAAGATACCACACCTGCTGGCAATGAAATCTTATTACTACTCCCTTCATTTTTTTCTATTGCTTCTTAGAACTTTAGACTCATCATCTCTTTCCTTAATAATAACTATCCATATGAAATGGTAGAGATTCCAGACTAACACTTTATTTATCATCACTTACAGAGGGCCTATTAGAGAATTAAAAAATGAAGCAGGAATCACTTAATCCTGAAATGAATCATAAATCTCACTAACTCACAGTCACTTGGGAGGCATCATATAAGACAGATTTGCCCCTTGGGGTAAAAGTTGCTGGCCTCTATTGCATGAATATAGCAGAGAACCTGAAAGCCATGAGCTCAATTTTTGGCTCATGCTATAGGATCTCCACAAAGCATGCCTTTCATAGGCTAGATGCAGGGCCAATCAACCCATCCAAATTTTTGCTACTGACAAAAAAGCAGCTTATACAAGCAAAGAAAAAATGTTTACCTTATAGTAGATCCCAAAAAGAAATTTAAGTTTTATTATACATTGTTAGAATTTCTTTAAATTTTAAGTATTTTCTCATATATGAAGACACTGCCCTATTTCCTAGAGCTACTGGGTTATCACTCTTCTGCCCACTAGAAGAATGAGTGGCCACAGACTAACTGAAAGGATACATGTGGCAGGCCAACCCAAGAGTCACCATCTAGTGAGGTCTTCCCTGACTCCTCCAGGCCGAGCTGAGTGCTGCCACTTGCGTCTCCACCCACATCTCTATTATAGCACTGGTCAGGTGGCATCTTGCCAAAAAGAATAAATGCCTCAGGAATAAGGACCACGTTTCTTGCCTATTTCTCCATCCCTAGCACATACCACAGTGGACAGCATTAATAGATACTCAATAGGAAGAAACAAACAATAAAGAAAGAAATATGGAGGAAAATGCTTCTAATAGTCAGATTAGCCTAGTCATCCAATATGAAGAAAATGAGTACTTCTCTGAATGGGTGAGAATGTTATCATTGGAATTTCCAAGGTCGGTGCTGGGTTCAGTCAACATTGCCCTAAAAGTCTGCAGATGATATTTAGCTCTTTCAGGTAGTAAACGGCATTCTTGGGAGGGATAAAGTGTAGAAGGAGCACAAGGCTCCATAAGTTGGCAGAAAAGATGTCAGAAAAATTAAACATGAGCTAAGAAAAGACAATATATTAAGAAAAAAACCTAAAATTATGCTTATTAAGACCATTAACAGACCAAAAAAGACATCTAGTAAGTCAATTGTAGACTACATTCTGAAAATATCAACCCAATATATTATTGCACTCAAAAAGGGACAATACTGGACATCATCAAAATAAAGCAATATCATACCAGTACTTGGAACATTTTATGCAAATCTAGTTGCCCAGTTTTAGAAAAACATAGTGAGAATGGAAAAAGTTCAACACATGTAACTGAATATTAGAGCCAAAGGCACCGTAAGTGATTACTCTAGTTGAACCCACTCATTTTACAGATAAGAAACTGAAGCCCATAGTAGTTAAATGATTTGCCAAAAATCACCCAGCAGATGCGTGGCATAGCCGGAATTAGATCCCTAATCTCCAGGAAGCAGTTCAGTGTTCTTCCCACTGTACTGCCTTATTTACATCTTTTTTAGCAGAGAAAAAAAACTAAAAATAATCAGGTCCTATCAATCTGGAAAATAAGGTTTAGAATGGAGGTTCTTAATCTATGGATAGGCTCCAGAAAGCTCACAAACCTTTTTTCTGGGAAGAAGGTTCACAGCTTCTGCGCAAAGGGATCAAGAATCAAAATAAATTAAGAACTCAGTGCGTTTAAAGAACAACTGCAGTCAATGAAGTCAAAGATTATAAGTGGGTAGAAAAGATGCTTACCTAATAACAGTATTCTAGAATGAGGAGTGGTTAATCCTTAAAGCTCAAAACAAATAGCTTTAGGAGAAAGAAAACCTAAGGCTGTGCTTCTGTGACACAGTTTTCCTTCCTACTGCTGCTCTGTCAGAAGAGCAACAAAACTTCTAGAAGCTTCTCTGTCAGCTTCTATCTCTAACAAAAGCAACAGAAAAAAAAGATCCTGGTAATTTTAAGCAATGTGGAACGATTAATACCCATGAGATGCTATCACATTTGAAATTCAAAGGAGAACAACAAATAGAATTCATTACCCTAAAATAAATAAGCAAGGGTTTAAAAAGCTTAGACAAAATTATGGCTGGCAGCACCGTTTAAGATGCTGAATTTGACATCATGGAAGACAACCTTAGAACGTCATTGGTGCTCCTATGGAATCCAGAAACCTGGGCGGATGGACCATGGACCCTTTAGAATGGCACAATTATGCTCTCATGTAACCTAGTCAATGCCCACAGCAGTGGTCTTAAACCTTTTAGGGCCTGGCCAGCTGACAGCAAATACCTTTAGAATGCTCTGTGTCTGGATGCAAGACAATGCGGACATACTTAAGATCTCCAAATTGCTGGAGGAGCTCCCCAAGTTCTTCTTCCTCTGAGTCAAAGGACAGGTTTCTATGGAAGACAACCAGAGGTCATAAGGAAGGTCAATTACAAAAATGAGATCTTGTGTTCTGGTAAAGGTAGGTGAGTTAGATATCAACAAGGGTGATTCCCTTCCTTACAACCACCCTCACTTGTTCAGAAATAGCACCAGTACATACGGGTGGCTCCCAGTGACCAGGCCTCTGCTATCTGACTCTGCCCCTCGGTCTCAACTAACTGACCTTCCTATGTCAATCAGGTTCTCTCTCCCAGGAATTTGAAACTTAAACAGACATATACACATACAAAGATCAGAAGTTGTAGGTGGAAATCCATTTCAAAATAGCAGTGCCCTACCTAAGGGAAACTTCTGGGGTGCTGAAAATGTTCTGTATCTTGACCTGGGTAGTGGTTATATAGATATATACATATGAAAAATTTCACTGAGTTGTACACTTAGATTAATATACTTTACAGAATATATGTTATACCTTATTTAAAAAAAAAAAAAAAAAAAAAGCAGTGTCTCCAGAGAAAAGACCCACAGCCTCCAGCAACTGGGATCCCAGAAGTGCTCAGATTTTCAGCCCTTTCTTGAGGTTTGCTCTTTGATAACTTTGATTCTATGAGATACTCTAGTGTTTGTCCAACAAATCACTTAAATTGGCCAAAATTACTTTCTCTTAATGCAACCAGACTCACAGCAGGCTAGTGAACAAAGTCAAATCTCTCTCTCTCTCTCTCTCGATTAGCCATTTTTCTCCTCTGTGTTGCTGTGAAATCCAGGTTTCAGTCAAAATTTTACAAAAGTCAGAAAATCCTTCAAAATAATAACACAAAAGCAAACATGGTAAAGTTTACAAGCTAAGCGCAAAAAAGGAAAACTGCTGATTTCTCTTGATGGGATTGAAAAATGTTAGAAGATTTTGTTGTCCTAAATCCAACATAGTGTAACGATTCCTCATTTCCCCAGCTATGCACATTCTTCCATAGGTAAAAGGAACAGTCCCTATAAACATCTACAATTTTACTTCTTTTTTACCCAATAAACAACCCTATAAATGATTCTATTTCATGGAGTAACCCAGATAAAAAAGGTTTTACTGCAATAAGGCATATGCTAGCTACATAAATTTCTTCTAATTTGCCTCATCATGTACATAGTTTTCTCTCTTCCATCCCTTTATTTCCATAAGTTCTTTATTAATTAAAAGATATATAAAGAAATGATATCCTTAGTATTGAGGTCACAGCCTTCTAAGTGTGATGTTTCTTCCTTACTGTTAGAATCCTCTATGAATAAAAATTTTTTCATATGGCAGCTCCAAATAATACAATAAAAAAGTACATGGAAAGATGCTGTTAAGTGAGAAAATGGGCTATAGCACAGCATGTATGTAGACTAAGCCCATCTTTGTAAATACTTATGATTTGGGCATGAGTGTGGGTGTTCTCTGAGTAGTGATTAAGGTTAATTTTTTTTTTGTCGTTTTGCTCATGGATTTCATAAATCTCTTACAATGAATATAAATTACTTGTATGACAAAAACAATCTTAAAAGATTGTACAAGAGGATAAAATACACACCTTCAAAATCAGACCCAAATGACCCTAGTACACTGGTACTTAAGAAAGGGCAAGAAAGCATGCTTGAGGTGTACTAAAGATATCCTGACCTTATGAAAATGCTAATCTACTGCAATGGGGCTGAAACAGCAATAGCAACATAACTTATCTCCACCCCAACTCCCACCCCGTTTTCCTGGAAAGAGATGGGATGCTGATTTGTTCCACATGATGCCACCCCAATCACAAAAAATGAAATCTAAATGAGAACAAGATATTAAGACCCCTGCTATTTATCTTCTGTGTTATAGTTCTGATTCTCCTACATTTCCCATTATTTAGTATGTTCCTGAGACCAGATGTGCTTACGGTCTTAGAGGTATCTAATTTTCTGAACTAGGTAACAGAAATAGTTGCAAAAAGAAGGAAGAGAAGAGGAAAGTAAAGGAGGGAGGAAGGAAAAGAAGGAGGGAGGGAAAAGAAAGGAAGAGGAGAGGAGAGAAGAGGAGAGATCTATGAAGGCAACACAAACAGCAGCTCTTGAGGTGGAAAGGCATACCTGATAAAAACAGTTTTCCCTTCATTCACATCAGAGGGTAATTTCCTCTTCTTTTTCTTTGTGACTTGTACATCTAAGGTAAAAAGAAAAACAACAAACTAAAACAGACTAGTGTAAGCCATAAGACAAAGATTCTTAAATATTCTCTAGATTCTTAAATATCTAAAGATCTTGCATAAATCAATACAATGAAAAACAAAGGATATGCAACTAAATACATGAAAAGATACTCATAATTAAAGAAAAACAGAATAAGAAATGAAATACTATTCTTCACCAACAGATTGACAAAATCAAAAAGATTGATGGAATCCAATGTGGTAAGGGTATAGGAAAAAGACATTCCCATATATTACTGTGATAGTACAAACTTTCTGGAAATATAAGACACATAGAACCTTTGAGGAGAAAACATACATATACATTCACACACACAAACATAAAACTGTATTGTGTGTGTGTGCATGTGTTTTTGCTTATAAATGTATTAAAATATCTCTAGATATACAGGAAACATATAACCGTGGTTGTCTATGGGGAAGCACCCCATGAAGCTGAGGATCTGGGTGTAAGGGAGACTCACCATCTCTTTTGAAGAATAGACATATATGCTTATATAAACATAGAAAATTTCTGGAAGGAAACACAAGAAACAACAGTGGTTCCTTTGGGGAACTGTTAGGACTAGTGGGAAACTTTTACTTTCCATATTACACTCTTCCATGTTTTATTTTATTTTATTTATTTTTTTTTTTAAAAAGATGACCGGTAAGGGGATCTTAACCCTTGACTTGGTGTTGTCAGCACCACGCTCAGCCAGTGAGCGAACCGGCCATCCCTATATGGGATCCGAACCCGGGGCCTTGGTGTTATCAGCACCGCACTCTCCCAAGTGAGCCACGGGCCGGCCCCCATGTTTTATTTTTTAACTTCCTCTCATTACCATGTATCTGTGCTATGATTTTTTCACATGAAAGAATGACAAGAGACAGCTGAATCTGAGTTGTAGAATGCAGGGTCTCATAGTCCCTTCTGTGTAAAAGCTTCTTGGATTCTAAGGTATCCACTAGTCTCTCCTCACAGAAAGCTTATTTCCTCAGATTTCTTATATGGTCACACCAACATGCCAGACTTACAGAAACAGGAGCAGAGTAAAAGTAACTGAATAAAAATGAAAATTTCCACCCAGACAAATCAAATGACCAGTTACTGGTTATTTCTTGTTCTGTAACAACATGCCTTCTTCAATAAATGAGTTGAGATTACCCCCAACATTCTCAATAAAGGCAGCAATGGAGATTGCTATGGAGACTGGTAACAGTTTTACAAAATGCTCCAAGAGGTCCTTGTTACAAACTAAATTGTTTACCCCCCAAAATTCATATATTGAAGCCCTAACCCCCAGTATGACTATATTTGGAGAAAGGAACTTTAAGGAGGTAATTAAGGCTAAATGAGGTCATAAGGGTGGGGCCCTAATCTAATAGGATTAGTGTCCTTATAAGAAAAGAGAGGGCTGAGGATCTCTAAAATTAAATAAACTGGGCCAGCCCGTGGCTCACTTGGGAGAGTGCGGTGCTGATAACACCAAGGCAACGGGTTTGGATCCTATATAGGGATGAGATCCTATATAGGGATGACCGGTGCGCTCACAGCGCTCACTGGCTGAGCGTGGTGCGGCCGGTCTCAAGAAGGACAAAAAAAAGGAAAAGAAAGAGACCAGAGCTCATTCTCTCTCTCTCTTCCCCCTTGAGCACACAAAGGAAAGGCCATATGAGGACACAGCCAGAAGGTAGCACTCAGTAAGCCAGGAAGAGACCCTTGCCAGGAACCAAATCAGCTGGCACCTTGAGCTAGGACTTCTAGCCTCCAGAACTGTAAGAAAATAAATTTCTGTTGTTTAAGCCAGTTGGTCTATGATACTTTGTTATGGCAGCCCAAGCTGACTATACAGTCCTTATCCCCATCTCAACTCAAAAGAGTTCTTTAAAATCCACACTGGTGTTAAGATACAATATCCTGTTTACCCAGTTATTCATTCAACTTGGATAATCAAGAGTGAGAGGTAGTACCTCAGCATTAAGCTGTTTTAAACTCCCTAAGAAAGAATATTCATCCTCGAATACCACTCAAACTCATTTAAAAAACAAACAAGAAATAAACAAGCACAAAAACCTTCAGAAGAAAGAAACATAAATTTTTCCTTTTCACATTTAAATGTAAATTTAATAGAACACCTTATGATCCTATTTTAAAAAAGGCCTGAGCGGAATTGATGCACATTTCTCAGTAACTTATTTAAAGCTTAAAGCCATTTATGAAGATCTAAGCAAACCTTCATCATCTTGCTCTTCAGTGCTGGCATCACTCTGAGCCAGTTCCTCTCCACCAATACCATCACTTTCCTCCAGGTCACTGTCCTCATCAGAATGATCTTCTTCACTGCTTTCTGCAGGGGTTGCTCTCTTGACTGCCCTGCAATGGCACAGTTCAAAACTAAGGATCTAACACCAAGGTCAAGGGTTTGAATTTCTGTACCAGACAGCCCCCAACTACCCCCTGCCCCCCCGCCAAAAAAAAGATTCAGGATCCAGGCTGAACAAGGCGCCTACTCAACTTCATTACACATGTCAATTCTGCAGTGATGGGGGCAGGGGAAAGACATGGCAATTTCTCCTCTCAGAGACAATCCTGAATCCTCCTCCGTTATCTAAGAACAGCCTGATCTGCTTACCTCTTCCGAATTTGCACAGACTTCGTCACATTTGATTCTTTATCCTCCTCATCTTCATCAACATCATCATCATCATCACCTTTCTCTTCTTCCATATCCTCTTCCTCCCTGCCATTCTTTTTAACTGATTCCTGATGTTTAAGTTCATGGCTCTTCTCACCTATGGAGGGAGGTAAAGAAAGTTAGGAATTCATTTAATATCCAAAGCAAGGTTATTTTAACAGGAGTAATTAATACTCCAAGTTTCTGGTATCTTTGGTTTCACAGAATTTCATTTATTTTTCTTACTGTATATAATGAGAAAGTATGAGGGGAAAGAAGCAAAAAACTATCACAAACAAACAAAACCTTCATCACTCAGATTCCTTTGGAGTCTGTCCCATTCATCAGAAGCCTGGAATTAATCTGGCCCAAATGAGAGAAGCAGCAGTTGAGCCTCTGCAAACAGCCCACCACTTGTACACCACGGCCAGCACAATGCTCACTCTGGAGCCCAGCCATGAACTTAATCTCAGTGAATTCTGTTCTCTGAGATCCTGGTGGCTTAAAAGCCAATTGTTTTCAAAATAAAATTCAAGTTTTAAGTTTCTCTATTCTTAATGTTCCATTGCTCCCTATTATGAAAAGCTGGAAAAGGACGGCAAGTAGAGGGGACAATGAATTCAGGCTCTAATCCCCACTTACATCCACCCCACAGGGGTGGGCTTTGACTCAAAAGATCTATGATTTGGGAACAGATCATCAGATGATACAATATGAATTGACAAACAGCCCTGAGCTCATTTCTGAGCCAGCAGGAATTCAGAGTTTTTTGTTAATGCTTAGTCTCATAGTTTTGGTGAATCTTGTGCTTTTGGTATCTTCAGCCCAATATTTTCACTCTGACAAGCAAGTTCCCTTACACTTTTATCATAAACACAAGAGTTGCTTCCACACTCTCACCCAGGACTTATAACCCCTCTGACCCAACTCCACCACCTCTTACCTGGGGCAGAAAGTGATTGTGTATCTTTATATTTATCCTTTGCCACAGCCCAATCCACAGCCACTGTCCGCCCTGTCAAACAGAAGAGTGGCATCAGAAAGGCTTTCTTCCTTTTGACATTCCTACCTCCTATAAATAACTTCCTACTCCTCAAATACAGTAATGGAACCAGTGGAGACAAAGAAACGGCCAATTCAGAGAATGTTGTTCCTTAAATAAAGCTCCTAGTAGCTTCCTACTCTTTTTAACACTTAACTTTTTAATCAATGAACAGATATTTTGCCTTTCTACACAGCCACCACACCTGGGATAAGATGGAGTAAAAAAATAAAGAATAAGAACAGTGTTTCCAGTTAGACCAGCAAGAAGCAAAACAGGCATTCTGGAGTAATCTACACCCTACTCAGAAGTTAGGAAGTCTCTAAGCCAAACCCTTCTTTAGGCACAATACCTAATAAATCAATACCTAGAGCAGTCTCAGTCAGTTTAATAGCCCATGTATGCTGAACAGTGATCATAACCAAGGAAAAGGAACCCAGACACCAAACTGCATCTGTCAGTTATTATTTCAGGGACATTTTTCATTAGAGAATTAAAAGGACACCTTTAGGGCCGGCCCGGTGGCGCACTGCTATAGTGCGCCGCTTGGGAAGCGCAGCGGCGCTCCCGCCAAGGGTTCGGATCCCACATACAGACCAGTTCCCGCTCACTGGCTGAGCGAGGCGCGGGAGCAACACCGAGGGCTGCGATCCGTTGCCGGACACGGAAAAAAGACAAAAAAAAAAAAAAAGGACACCTTTATTAAATAAAGGAAAGAATACTGGCATGAGTTCTTTCAAATTTAACCCTAAGATCAAGAACTAAGAACATATCACTAAAACAGCTTCCATATTAGCAGTGAGACTTTCAACAATGCAAACACCTTTTGAAAATGTAGAAAGTGGGTTACTGTGCTAACTCACCCAAACACCAGTAAATCTGGGTCAGTGGTACAGGTGTAAAAAACTTACCTTTTATTTCTTTCATGTTCATGCCTTTGAGAGCTTTTCCTGCTTCTAGGAGGTTTTTGAACTGAACAAAAGCAAAACCACGCATCTTTCCATCTGTGTACAAATGTACAAAGAAGTTAGAGGCAGCGGGGGCAGCCAACAGAACACTAAGAAGGAAACTGCAGCAACACCAGCTGGCAAGATAGTCCAAATCCTGCCAACTAACCAGCCCCTTCCTCCAAAGCAACAGCTTAGACCCTCTTGCTGAGTATACCCTGACTCGAGTTTGGGAAGAGCAATGCATTTTCTCAAACTGTAACTAGTCTTTTAAAACTAATTTTGAACTAACTAAAAATACAATCAGGGGAGTAGCACTATTATTTGGGTTTTCATTACTTGTCGAGCACTGTGCCAGATACTTTACATATATCATATCATGTAGAGCTCACAAAGAGTATGACATGAACCTTGTATTTTTATTTCAAATGGTGCTTAGTTCAAGGGTAATATGGAAAAAGACAGGTTAAATAATCTTAATCTAAACCACACCAAATGAAAGTTTACTAGTACCTGGCTTCCTAGGGATATTTACTTCCAGAACAGTACCAAATTGAGCAAATATTGTCTTCAAGTCATCTTCTGAACACTGAAGCCAAAAGTGAAGAAAAAGAGAAATATTATCACAGCAAGTAAACGTGAAACATTAGCTTCTAAGTTTGTTCATTAGAGAGAGCTTTTTTACTCCTTTTTTACTTGAGAGACTAGGATATCAACATTTCTGAATAGAAGACATCTTACACTGTATCTAAGAGGCAAAAAAGACAGATGTCAGAGAGCTTTTTCTCCCCTCCCTTTCTCAGCAGTAGTTTCCCCAAGAGGAAGGTATCTTCACATTGAGTATCCTTAATAAGTTCTTGTTTATACGGGCCCATTTTTTGAATTTGACAGGGGTAAGGTTCATTACCAGAAGGAATTAAGTCCATCTTGGTGAGGAATTCCAAAAATGAGCACACCCCTGGCTCTAATAACCTTCAGAACACACAATGTAAGTTTTCTTTGTCACTTACCTTAAAGCTCAGGTTCCGAATAATTACTCTGGCTTTTTTATCTGCCACTTTGGCTTTTTTAGGCTTCAGTTCCTTCTTTGGGGACTCTGAATTTTCTAAAAGTAAGAGGCAATGGAATAAGTCTGTGCTCCAAAACCACCCACTTCCAGGCCAGAAGATCCCAAGAAAAAAGCTACTAGCGACAGATGGCATTTATCACAGGGTTAAGCATGGCAATATCCAGGAACACCAGATTTTCCAGACTGAGGTGGAAACAAAGGACTAAAATGAATATCAAAATACACTGGATGATTATGGACATCAAGACTTCATAAAGCTTTAATTTCTAGAAGCTCCCCTCATACCACTCTGCCTCTCTCTTTCATTTTCATTGTGTACCTCCTTACCTTGGGAGAAAACTCCCTTTGATTACCATTTTTTAGAAACTCACCATTTTTCCCCTTTTCCTTAGATTTGTTCCTCAGTTTTTTCTTGGCAACAGTCACGTTGATCTTGCAACCTTCAAAGGTGGTAATCTCCTTGAGCGCCCTCTGAGCATCTTCCAGCATAGAAAAAGTGACATAGCCAAAGCCTCGACATGCCTTACTCCCTGGAACAGAATGGGAAGGAAAGGGGGTGGGGTGGGGAAAAGGAAAGAGAAGCGTAAGCCAAGAGCCCTAAACCAGTAACTGAAAGCCTAAGCTAGCAGATATACTGCCAAGCCATCGTGTTATCAGTTTGCCAAAAGTCTCAGGAGAGAAAGAAACAGATCGGGATCAGAGACTGTTAGACTTTGCTCAGAGACTGTTAGACTTCTTCCTGCTTCTGCTTTGGTGTCTTCGGTGTTAGCTCCTCTTCTTCTCCCATTCCTAATAATCACGAGAATATGGAGAATCCATGTCACACCTTAGGCCCCCAAAGAAGAACTCAACATCAAATAGAATGAAACATCATCAGAGAAGGTAGAAAAGGTAAGTGAGGTAGCTTTGAAAATCAGAATAATGCAGCCCCTCCTCAGAATATATCAGCAAGAAATGCCTGAGGCCCTGACAAAAGAACTTCAAACAATAAACTGCTTTGGGAGATATTATCACCATCATTACCAATGCCTTAGCTATCAATATCAAATTAAACCTTTCCAAAACAGCTATAAATCTCTTCTCTCATTTTATCGTCAGAATACTCCACGATAGGTAAAGTGAATATTATTATTCCCTCTTTGCAAAAGAATAATTTGAGATGAAGAAATGTAAGTAAATTGGGTAATGTCACACAGGGTGTTAGTAGCTGAATTAATTCCTCCTTACCCGCCCCATGTTCTTCTGCAGGACTCCACAGAGAATATTAGTACCAAACAGATGAATAATCACAAATATCAACTATAACTCACCTTTGCCCTTTATTGGTATGCTTTATTGGTTTAACATTTTTGTACAGTAAAATTTTAAGTAATTTATCACATTGAAAAGGAAAAGCACAGACCAAGAAATCTACCTTCTACCTAAAAGAAGAAACAGAACTCATGTGCTCTGCTTCTCTTTCAACTGTACTTGAATCTCCTTCAGGATATAAGCCCTTTAGCACAGGTAACTAATCCATATAAATTGGTTAAAGTTAACAATTAGCACCAGGAAAGCATACTGTGACATGGCAATTGGTTTCTTTTCTCTTGGAACTCCTCACAAAAGCCTGCCCACTCACCTTTCAGAAAATAAGAACAAGAAAAATCAGGGCCCTTCCTGATCTGTACAACCAGAAATAAAGCAGCCAAAATGTGGAGTTCAGCATCCAAATAAAAGTAAACACTCACAATAAATACCATGCATTTTATATGTCTGCATGAAACACTCTCATGTACATTTAGAGTCTGCACAACGACCACCCTGTAAAATTATTCCCATCTTTAAGAAGTTAAATGACATGCCACTACTATTGCGGAAATCTTCATACCAAATCCCATGATTCCCATCCTATAGAGCACAGCACTCTTTCCAATGTATCTCAGCTGTCTGGATAGGAAACTGCATAGTTTTTTTAAAAGGGAATAAGAAATTTTGTTAAGGATTTGTTAAGGATTTAGACTAAAGTTACACGCAGCCTGTATTCTGAAGACTCAAAGGAGAATTCCATTCAATGGCCTTTTCTTCCCTGGGACACAACCTCCTGGCACTGTAGTGTTTCTCAAACTGTTTCGACAACCCACAGTAACGAATGTAACTTATATTGGAACCCAGGACATACATAGATTCTTTATATAAAACTGAAATAGAAGTTTTACAAATATTCATCTTTTACCATATATGGATGCACTCCTAGTCTATTTCATTTTTAAAAAATTCTAGTCATGGGCCGGCCCGGTGGCGCACTGCTATGGTGCGCCACTTGGGAGCGCGGCGGCACTCTCGCCGAGGGTTCGGATCCCACATACAGACCAG